AACACATCTCTGTGATGTGTTTGAACTATAACATTATGCTATTATTTGCATACTCCCCATGTACAGAGCCCAAAATTTAAATGTTGCTCGTCGAGCGAGAACCTCTAAGACGTCAATTAAGATTTATTCATTTAATGTGAAAATGGTCAAGGCAGTTTGCAGCGTAATGAAATGAGGTTCGGGTTATCGGAACAATCGTAAGGAAGGAAGAAGAGGGAAAGGAAGAAGATGAACAGGCCTCGTTCCTTCAGCAAACCTAAACTCTCAGCATTATTACGCGGTGTTCTCATTAATAAATTTTATGAAGCAGCGGGAAACAAAATTAAAGGCTTCAAACAAGTGGCATAGTGATGCGAAACAACTTTCCTCATCACCCTTCATGTCACCGGCTAAGGTGTGGTAGAATAAATTCTTTTAGCGTCCAGGAGACAAAATACAGGATTGCTCAGCGATGAAACTCCGTTCTGCTAGAGATAGCGTTGATTATGCCTGTAGGTTCAGCTTTTATTACCATTTCACCTTGCTGCACCTCATTTACCTCGTTTAACCAACCTTGCGTTTTCTCTCCCGTAGACAACCATTATTCACAACGCCAATCTCCACGCTGTAAAACGAGCACATTTTCGCTCACACCTGTACCCCATTAGACAAATGAGACGACATTATGATGTAAAACCTCTCCGCATACTCTGAAGATTCTGTTAGAAGAAATTTAAATAGTCAGTAACGACATTCGCATATGCAGTTTGACGAAATCTGTACCGCAGGGGGGGAGGTATAAGTGCCCTAAGGACTGTGGAAGCAAGTCGCCAGTAGAACGTTGTCTAGTGTTCCTAATGTGGTGATTCGCATTAGCCATTGTCAGCAAATAGACCAAATCTTTTTGGTCTTGATCCAGAAATCATGATATAAAGTGCAAAGGCAATCTGGTATACGATTGACGGCTTTAACATCCAGACGATAGCCCAATTTTGTGTTCTGTTTATGTCACCTATGGCAGGTACGTATTGAAACGCTTTTAGGCCTACTGTTGCAAACGACTCAAGGCGTCAATCACACATGCAAAATCTTTTCTCCATTTGGTGAAAAATCAAACGTGTTACCTTGCACGTGTCATTCAGTAGCGTTCGCCTTTAAACTGAACATCGGCCACATGCTGTAGAGAGTTGGCTTCAGCTTGCAAATGGAATTACTTAAAGGAAATAATTTAACATGTCTCTTTGTGATGTAAGATATTTTCACTGTTTTTGGAGTTCTACACGGCGGTTGGCTGCTTTCGATGATCTTCGAGGCACTTATTCCTAGACGATTTCTTCTGCTGTCTAAGTGCCATGGTTTTTCCCGTAACTCGGGATATCTTGGCTATCTTTCTTCCGACCTCCATTACGCTTTCTGTCAAATAAATGAGGTCTTGAGTCACAACAACATGGGTGTAAATTTAGCTGCTCTTAAACCTTAGCCATGATACGATCAGCAAATGAAAATCTGACGTGGAATTCGCATTTTCAAATTAAGACGACAGCATAATTTCACAACCAATGGGCGTCATCCAAGGCAAACTCGTAGCACCAGCCTTTCGACCAGTCACAGCATGTGGTGCAATCAAAACGTATTATAGTGCAGTTATGAAACAAGGCCCTTCTCAGAAATATGTTCAAGTGTTCTTTGCAATTTGCAAAGCACAAGCACTTGTGCATCATGACAACGATCATACCATGAATTTCCATATTTGTTTTTTAATATCTAAATGCTGACTTGGCGCAGCAGCATAAAAAGCTACCACATTACTTGCGAACTTGTTGCTCGTTGGTGTCACGTTCTATGATCATATGGTTAAGTGGTGTTTCGAGCAACGGCATTTTACGATCGGTACAGGTTTCATTGAAAACGGGTCATTCGAAGTGGGCATCAGATTGAGTAGTCAACACTCAGACAACTAAACGAGAAAGTGAAGATTAAAAACTAAATGATTTGCGAAACGTTTCATATTAGTCGAGTCGTTCTCCGCAATCCATCCTACCTCGGGACCATCCTCCGGGAAACGATCAGCGACTACCTCGAGATCGTATGACAGACAAAACTACTATGGAGTACGTACTCCAAGCCGTCCTGGGTAACGTGAAAGCCCTGTCATAAACCACGAAACAGCCGGGGTGAAATGTTCCGGTAAAAGGTTTAAAACCGAATCCCTCATGCCGTTCGGTACAGGCGCAGGTTGAGGAAAATTTATTGATTTTAGTTGACTTAAGCACGAACCTGCTCAGTACGTTTTGACCCTAAACATTGGCATTATACGTGTAAACAAACTATCAAAATATGCAACGAGGATCAACGCAGCAGTAGAAGTGTGAATAACAGAAGGTAAGCAAAGATGAATGGCTACTCCGACATATTTTCTGGAACATGCACGTGAAAACGTTCATTCACTGCAGCATCATTTACCCCCTAAACAAAGTATGAAGACTCGTCAGCGAGAGAGACCAGATACGGCAAAACGGCGTTTGATACCCTCACCTGGAAATTCTGAATAATAATAAGTCCACCTTATTTTGTACATCATATGGTCATTCTTTCTGAATGAGAAGATGGCATTTTCATGTAGCCATGTCTTCCATCTTTTCCAGATATGTAACTACACTGGAGCGCATGTCGATACCCTAGATTATCTCGCTCTCGCATTGTGAGTCGATTTGTTTTCCAATGGCCAATCAACAGCAAAGGATGTTTCTTTCGAGGAGATACAAAAAAGCCTAAGCATATGATTATTGAGGATATGAATGCAGTCACAGTATAAACTATCTCTTCTAATTAGTGCATGACTGTGCCATTCACAAAAAAAGGCATATTTGAATTTCCCTGTGCCCCAAAAATATCTGTGTGATGTCTTAAATCATTTCTTCCATTTCGTTCCTTCAGAAACTAAGCGACAATGGCAATGTGTTGCTGTAACACAATTTTCGTGTTGAACATTCGAGTCAAATTCGAATTAAGGAGGCGACTTTCCGACATCGAGAAATAGGCCACATCGGAGGTGGCTAGAGAGCCAAGAACTTCCAACTTAAATTTCAACGATAAAATGCGAAAATGAGCTGCGTAAGAATTGGCTTAAGCGAGCAATTGAGGTGTTGGAGTAGAATTTTCAAGAGGGACAAAAAGGTATTGAGACAAACCATACGCCCTCTCTGATTGGAACGAAAGATAGTACCTAAGAGCAAGTCCGAAACCTTCTTTCCAAGATGAGGACATACTTCGGGGATCGGAAAGATACTCTAAGCAAAGCCTTAACTCTGCCAATCACCTGAAGAGCAGCCGCCAACCAATATTAACTTCTAAGTACTTGATATCGCAGCAGCTGCTAAAATTTTAAATAATTGTTGGAATGGACAAAATCCGCCCTGAAAAGCTCATGACTAGCAGGTGATTGTGAAACTGCAACGGTTAGGGTCTCCAGCCGACTGGAGAATGGGAGTTGTTGTACCCCCATTCAAGGAAGGAGACCAAAGGGAGTGCTCGAATTATCGGGTTTTCACCTCATTGCCTCATTAAACCTCGCGGGTAAGGTCTACGCAAAGGAGCTAGAAACGAAGTGCAGCGAAGAAAATGACTTTGAAATACATGGTTAGCAGTGTGGCTATAGGTCTAGCTGAAACACCTCTGCACAGATATTCGCTTAACGCTTGATTTTTTTCTAATTGTTTGAAGTTCGCTCATTCGGTTTACATGACCTTGTTTACCTGCAGGAGCGGATAGCCGGATTCCACGTAACAAGCTGTGGGATCGATTGCCACCAGCTATCAGCCATGCACTGGTAGCAGGCGCTGCTCCAGAACAAGTAGCGTTAACTGGAAGAGTATCAGCGTTGGCACTGCCAAGGCTTTGTCCTGTCTCCTATCCTGTTTGTGTTGTACATGGATGGAATAGTCAGGCGCTGCCAAGGTGATGAGGGTATCGGTATAG